AAATGATCAGGGACTTACTCCGATCAACTGTGTTTTGCACCAACTTCGGGTTAGATGCCTATTCTTTCTTCACTTCTAGCCTAATGTTTGTTTTATCTTGGTTGCTGCAGTGTTTGACTTCCTTTACTGCTTCTTCTATTTTTTCCTTCTCCTTGGCCACTTGTGCATAAGTGAGTTGCATATCTTTCTTGCACTGTTCTATTCCCTGTGTAACTTCCTCCATCTGTGCTGACAAAAGCTGTTTCTCCTGTTGAATTTCCTTGCCTAACCTATTGTAGTCATTTATGTTTAAATTTACTTTAACTTCTTCCAAAGCTATTTTTAAGAGTTTATTTTCTTCTTCCATTGCTTTGCAACTTGTTTCCAATTGATTCTTTTCCTTGCGCAAGTCTTTCACTAAACCCTCAAGACATAAAACTTTGCTATTCAAATGGTCATTACTTTCTTTCAATTTACTAATTATTTCTACATGAGAGTTCACTATAGTATCTAAATTTACCATTTATCTAAATCTAAATTTATCTAGTATCTAAATTTAGTGTGTGGATGTGTGTGTGTGTGTGTGTAATTACCTAAGTGTAGTTACAGGATGAGAGCTATGCTCATGGTGTCCCGTCTTCCCAGCACTCTTTGTCATATAACGCTTTGAAACTACTGACGGTCTTGGCCTCCACCACCTCCTCCCCTAACTTGTTCCAACCGTCTACCACTCTGTGAAAGTGAATTTTCTTATATTTCTTGGGCATCTGTGTTTAGCTAGTTTATATCTATGACCTCTTGTTCTTAACGTTCCAGGTCTCAAGAAATCTTCCCTATCGATTTTATCAATTCCTGTTACTATTTTGTACGTAGTGATCATATCACCTCTTTTCTTCTTTCTTTTAGTTTTGGCATGTTTAATGCTTCTAACCTCTCCTCGTAGCTCTTACCCTTCAGTTCTGGGAGCCACTTAGTAGCATGTCTTTGCACCTTTTCCAGTTTGTTGATGTGCTTCTTAAGATATGGGCACCACACAACAGCTGCATATTCTAGCTTTGGCCTAACAAAAGTCATGAACAATTTCTTTAGTATATCGCCATCCATGTATTTAAATGCAATTCTGAAGTTAGAAAGCATAGCATAGGCTCCTTGCACAATATTCTTTGTGGTCCTCAGGTGATAGTTTTCTATCTAGAGATATCTATCTATCTGTGTGAGAGAGAGAGAGAGAGAGTGTGTGTGAGAGAGAGTGTGTGAGAGAGAGAGTGTGTGAGAGAGAGAGTGTGAGAGAGAGAGAGTGTGTGAGAGAGAGAGTGAGAGAGAGAGAGAGAGAGAGAGAGAGAGAGAGAGAGAGAGAGAGAGAGAGAGAGAGAGAGAGAGAGAGAGAGAGAGAGAGAGAGAGAGAGAGAGAGAGAGAGAGAGAGAGAGAGAGAGAGGAGGAGAGAGAGAGGGTGTGAGAGTGTAATTACCTAAGTGTAGTTACAGGATGAGAGCTATGCTCATGGTGTCCCGTCTTCCCAGCTCTCTTTGTCATATAACGCTTTGAAACTACTGACGGTCTTGGCCTCCACCACCTTCTCACCTAACTTGTTCCAACCGTCTACCACTCTGTTTGTGAAAGTGAATTTTCTTATATTTCTTCGGCATCTGTGTTTAGCTAGTTTAAATCTATGACCTCTTGTTCTTGAATTTCCAGGTCTCGGGAAATCTTCCCTATCGATTTTATCAATTCCTGTTACTATTTTGTATGTAGTGATCATATCACCTCTTTTCTTCTGTCTTCCAGTTTTGGCATATTTAATGCCTATAACCTCTCCTCGTAGCTCTTGCCCTTCAGTTCTGGGACCCACTTAGTAGCATGTCTTTGCACCTTTTCCAGTTTGTTGATGTGCTTCTTAAGATATGGGCGTGTGTGTGTGTGTGTGTGTGTAATTACCTAAGTGTAATTACCTAAGTGTAGTTACAGGATTAGAGCTACGCTCCTGGGGCTGTGTGTGTGTAATTACCTAAGTGTAATTACCTAAGTGTAGTTACAGGATGAGAGCTACGCTCGTGGTGTCCCGTCTTCCCAGCACTCTTTGTCATATAACGCTTTGAAACTACTGACGGTCTTGGCCTCCACCACCTTCTCACTTAACTTGTTCCAACCGTCTACCACTCTATTTGCGAAGGTGAATTTTCTTATATTTCTTCGGCATCTGTGTTTAGCTAGTTTAAATCTATGACCTCTTGTTCTTGAAATTCCAGGTCTCAGGAAGTCTTCCCTGTCGATGTTATCAATTCCTGTTACTATTTTGTATGTAGTGATCATATCACCTCTTTTTCTTCTGTCTGCTAGTTTTGGCATATTTAATGCTTCTAACCTCTCCTCGTAGCTCTTGCCCTTCAGTTCTGGGAGCCACTTAGTAGCATGTCTTTGCACCTTTTCCAGTTTGTTGATGTGCTTCTTAAGATATGGGCACCACACAACAGCTGCATATTCTAGCTTTGGCCTAACAAAAGTCATGAACAATTTCTTTAGTATATCGCCATCCATGTATTTAAATGCAATTCTGAAGTTAGAAAGCATAGCATAGGCTCCTTGCACAATATTCTTTATGTGGTCCTCAGGTGATAGTTTTCTATCTAAAACCACTCCTAGATCTCTTTCTTTATCAGAATTCTTTAAAGATTTCTCACATAATATATAGGTTGTGTGGGGTCTATGTTCTCCTATTCCACATTCCATAACATGACATTTATTAACATTAAATTCCATTTGCCAAGTGGTGCTCCATATACTTATTTTGTCCAGGTCTTCTTGAAGGGCATGACAGTCATCTAAATTCCTTATCCTTCCTATTATCTTAGCATCATCAGCAAACATGTTCATATAATTTTGTATACCAACTGGTAGATCATTTATGTACACAATAAACATCACTGGTGCAAGAACTGAACCCTGTGGTACTCCACTTGTGACATTTCTCCATTCCGATACATTGCCTCTGATTACTGCCCTCATTTTTCTATCAGTCAGAAAATTTTTCATCCATGATAGAAGCTTACCTGTCACCCCTCCAATATTTTCCAGTTTCCAGAACAACCTCTTATGTGGAACTCTGTCGAAAGCCTTTTTTAGGTCCAGATAGATGCAGTCAACCCAACCATCTCTTTCCTGTAATATCTCTGTGGCTCGATCATAGAAACTGAGTAAATTCGATACACAGGATCTTCCAGATCGAAAACCATACTGTCTGTCTGATATTATATCATTTCTCTCTAGGTGTTCTACCCATTTAGTTTTGATTAGCTTTTTCCAATACTTTCACTATTACACTTGTCAATGATACAGGTCTATAATTGAGGGGGTCTTCCCTGCTGCCACTTTTGTAGATTGGAACTATGTTAGCCTGTTTCCACACGTCTGCTACGATTCCTGTACACAGGGATGCCTGAAAGATCAGGTGAAGTGGAATGCTGAGCTCAGATGCACATTCTCTCAGAACCCATGGTGAAACGTCATCTGGGCCAGCTGCTTTGTTCTTACCGAGCTCCTTGAGCATTTTTTCCACTTCGTCTCTAGACACCTCTATGTGTTCTATGTTGTTCTCTGGAATTCTTATTGTATCTGGTTCCCTAAAGATTTCATTTTGTACAAACACACTTTGGAACTTTTCGTTTAGTGTTTCACACATTTCCTTTTCATCTTCCGTGAATCTATTTCCCATTTTCAACCTCTGAATATTATCCTTTACCTGCAATTTGTTGTTTATGAATTTATAGAATAGACCTGGTTCTGTTTTACATTTGTCCGCAATCCCTTTTTCAATTTCTTTCTGCCTCTCTCCTCACTGCCGTGTAGTTGTTTCTCGCATCTTTGTATCGCTGGTATGTTTGGGGGTTCGGCCTCTTCCTGTATTGATTCCATTTTTGTGTCTTTCGGTCTCTAGCCCTCTCGCAATTTCTATTGAACCAATCCTGTTTCCTAGTTCTGCATCTCTGTTTTGGTATAAATTTTTTTGTGCCTTTATCATATATTTCACAAAACTGTGTGTGTGTGTAATTACCTAAGTGTAATTACCTAAGTGTAGTTACAGGATGAGAGCTACGCTCGTGGTGTCCCGTCTTCCCAGCACTCTTTGTCATATAACGCTTTGAAACTACTGACGGTCTTGGCCTCCACCACCTTCTCACTTAACTTGTTCCAACCGTCTACCACTCTATTTGCGAAGGTGAATTTTCTTATATTTCTTCGGCATCTGTGTTTAGCTAGTTTAAATCTATGACCTCTTGTTCTTGAAGTTCCAGGTCTCAGGAAGTCTTCCCTGTCGATTTTATCAATTCCTGTTACTATTTTGTACGTAGTGATCATATCACCTCTTTTTCTTCTGTCTTCTAGTTTTGGCATATTTAATGCTTCTAACCTCCCCTCGTAGCTCTTGCCCTTCAGTGTGTGTGTGTGTGTGTGTGTGTGTGTGTGTGTGTGTGTGTGTGTATGTGTGTGTGTGTGTGTGTGTGTGTGTGTGTGTGTGTGTGTGTGTGTGTGTGTGTGTGTGTGGAAAAAAAAAAGTTGATTGACAGTTGAGAAGCGCACCGAAAGAGCCAGAGCTCAACCCATGCAAGCACAACTAGGTGAATACATACATGGATTCATAAGCACATTGACTTTAAAGAAGATTTTTGTTTTTGTGTAATGTTTACAATTTGATTAGCTGGGTATAACCGCAGTACCTTTATTAACATAACATGGAAGCCTATCTGGGAACCTGTTATGCTCATTAAGGTACTTAGATTATTAAATCGCCATTATAACCAGATAGGTGACTCCTCTTGCAACCATTTGTGTGTTATGATGCAGCAGAAATCAGTGAATTATTGCAACATTTACAGAGTTCATACAATTGTTCAATTAAAATAAAATGTGTTAATGTTTAATATTGTAACATTAATTGTACTAATGAGTGCATAGATACTTTTGGTTAGTGAAGTAATTTGTAGTTCACAATATTTAATTGTCATTGGTAAAATACTATTTTCAGTTATGTGGTTTTGTGGAGCTGAAGTCTTACTACCACTTTATGAGTCATGACAAAGGAAAGGCACATTACAAGGTGAGATGTTTATTTGAATTTACCATCTAATCTGAAGAGTTGCTACTGGGTTCCACATGGAGCTTAGGTGACAAAAACTGAACATTTTTCTGGGGGGAGCCCCTTCGGCTCCCTGGAGTTATCCAGGCTGATATGGATATATTAGATTTTGGCATCAGTCAATGTGAATGGAGTTGTAGGCCTGCCTGGGACCACAAGCCAGAAGCTGGGCCCCTCAGAGAGTCACAAGGAGTAATGGCCTATAGAAACCCCCGTGTAGTTGGAAACATTCTGTGTCTGCCATCAACTGGGTCAGACACCCAGAAAGGTAAGCACCCCGAAAATAAACCCCTATTTTAGTTAAAATATTGCTACAGAAATCTGAACTAGAGTACAGAACTCCCCAAATGAAAACTAGCAAACTAGCATGACGTTACCGCACTGCTTGTCTGTGCAACCCCCCCCCCCCTCCCTTCCTCGGGAGGGGAAAGGGGGAGCCCCAGACTCTCACACCGGCTGTCCACCCTTCAGTTCTTAGGCTGATGTGCTTGCCAACGGTTGTGTGACTCTGGCTCCTATTTTTGTCCTCCAGCTCTGTGCCTTGTGGTGTGGTGCTGTTCCTTGGTGGTGGCCAGCCAGGACTAATTTCACAAGTACTCGGGCTGCATGCACCTAGGGTCCCCTTCCCTAGGTGCCTTGTAAGTACTGCCCTTGGGGTCACCTTCCGCAAGTCACCTTGGGATCTCACTCTGCTTGGTCTTTTGCTGCTCGGTAATTGACCGCCCTTAGTGTGCCGGGGTGTTTTGTGCACCGTTGTTTGCCTTTGGGTAGGGGTAGTTTTGTACTGGTTGGGGTGCAGAGTACTGTGCAGCTAGTTGTCACCTCTGTGGCCAGCTCTGTTCCGCCTGGGTACATTGTCCTCTTATGGGGTTTTTTCTTTTTTGTTTGTTTTTCGCCTAGTGGGGGATCTGCCTTTTAGTTGGTCTCGCCCTATTGTGTCTTGGGTGGCCCCCAGCTAGGCCCCCATGAGTGTACACGTCCCGGGGGTGCAGCTTTAGCAGTTTGTTGGTGTTATTGGGTGCCAGTTAGCACTACTCCTGCCTGGGCCTTCCCTGAGCTTAAGTTCCATCTCAGGACTCTGGGAATCCCCATGGGGGGGGGGGTGCATGGGTTTGATGGATGTGACCCCTGAGCCACCCCCCCCCCCCTCGCCTTGAGCGAGTTTGAGGGTTGCTCGGTTCCCTTGTCTCTAGGTGACTTTCACGGTTCCTGCCTCGGTCATGCTGCCTGCTGAGTCGGTGACACCTTTGACCCTGAGTCTTGCTAATTTTGTTCCTTGTTTGTGACTGTACACCCAGTCCACTGATGACACTTCGAGTGCAGGCAGCTTGGGTGTTGCACGCTTGTTTTAGATTGCTGCAGTGCGATAGGTTGGTTGCTGACCCAGGAGCCCCGAGGCTACCCCATTTTAGTTCTAGCCTGGCATAACTAATTGCTCTTAGCAGTCGTCCTAAAGTTCAGTTTAGGGAAGACAGCCTAGGTGTCTGAGTATACACATTTTAGTGATGGTGTGAGGCTGGTTGCTTGCTCACGGGTAACACTCGTCCGAATTTCGTGTTTGCTGCGGGTTGCAGCACCAGGCTTTTTGACCTTGTATGCATATATTCCTTTAGAGGATTCTATTACAAACAATTTGATACCAAATGAACGGTGTAATACAAAAATTGACATAAGAAAACTGAAGAGAGGGTGCACATTTTAGTGCTGGTGTTGGTGTGTGGATAGGTGCTAGCTCACGGGTAATGCTCGTCCAATTTTCAGGTTTGCTGCGGGTTTCACACTGGCATTTTTTACCTTGTATGCATATATCCTTTTTGAGAATTCTATTGTGAACAATTTGATACCAAAATGAGCATTGTAACTTGAAAATTGATATGAGAAAACTGAGAAGAGCATACCATTTTAGTGCTCTTGCACGCTTACGGGGAACTCTCAGCTGATTTTTGTGTTTGGTGCGGGTTGCATGCCGGGCTTTTTGATCTTCTATGCATATACTCTTGTAGGGAATTCTATTGTGAACGATTTGATACCAAATGAATGATGTAACACGAAAATTGATGTTATCAAACTGAAAAGAGTATTCACGTTTGTGAGTAGGCGTTGCATGTGTGTCAGTGGGTGCTCATTCACGGTAACGCTTGGCTGAATTTCGGCTTTGTTGTGGGGGGAAGTTTGACCTCATATACTCCTGTATATACTCCTGATGCATATACTCCTGTAGGGAATTCTGTTGCAAACAAATTGATACCAAAATTAATGAGGAAGCACAAGAATTGAGGTAAGAAGAAGAGTAGACACATTTTGATGGGGTTGTGCGCTTGTGGGTAACCTTCGGCAGAGTTATGACTTTGATGAGGGTGGCACGCTGGGCTTTTGACCTTCATATGTATATATATCCCTGTATGGAATTCTATTGCGTACAAAAAGATGCCAAAATGAACGCCGTAAATGAAAATTGAGGTGAGAAAACGGAAGAGTATACATATTTGAGTCTGACCGCGCACTCACGGGAAATGCTCAGCACAACTTGAGGTAAGCTGGAGAGTGCCCGCCAGGGACCGGAAAGTGTTAAATAAATGAATGGCAAAATACTAAAGGAATTGTTCACGATTTTTGTCAGACCAAAGCTGGAGTATTCAGCAGTTGTATGGTGCCCATATCTAAAGAAGCACGTCAACAAACTGGAAAGGGTGCAAAGACATGCCACTAAGTGGCTCTAAGAACTGAAGGACAAGAGCTACGAGGAGAGGTTAAAGGCATTAAATATGCCATAACTAGAAGATAGAAGAAATAGGTGATATGATCACTATGTACAAAATAGTAACAGGAATTGATCGGGAAGATTTCCTGAGACCTGGAACTTCAGGGACAAAAGGTCATAGATTTAAACTAACTGAACACAGATGTTGAAGAAATATAAGAAAATTTACTTTCACAAACAGAGTGGAAGACGGTTGGAACAAGTTTGGTGAGAAAGGTGGTGGAGGCCAAAACTGTCACCACACCTCAGTTCTGAAGCTGATGCGCTAGGTAGAGGTCGTGTGCTCTGGCTCCAGACTTGGTTTCAGTGTGCCTTGCGTGTGGTGGCTGTCTTTTCGGTGGTGCATGAGCGAGGAGTATTTCTTCAGTACTCGGGCTGCATTCGCCTAGGGTTCCCTTCCCTAGGTGCCTGGTAAGTACTGCTCTTAGGGCTTGAGGCCACCTTCCACACGTTCCTTGAAATCTGCCTCTGCCTGGCCGTTCACTGCTCGGTTTTAGGCCGCCCTTTGTGTGCTTGGGTGTTCGCCATAGGGAAGGAGGCAGTTTGCGCTGATAAGGGACGCAGGATACTGTGCATCTTGTTTTCACCACTCATAGCGGCCGGCTCTGTTCTGCCTGGGTATGCTGTCCTCTTGCGGGGGTTTTCTTTTTCTTTTTGTTTGCCTGCCTGGTGGGGGAAGTCTGCCGTGGTTATTGCCCCTGTGTACTGAGTACTTTTATCTATTCAGGTGCTGCTCCCTGCTTGGTCCCCATGAGTGTACACGTATTATATATTTAAATACTGTATATTATATTCTATATATTTAAAACTCTGAACTGCATTGTCAATCCTGAACTTCAAAGCTTCCTAGAAGGTTGTAACAACTCATGGGCATCACACCAGAAACAAATACCTATTTGATATTCCAAGAGTGCGACTTAACCAAACTAGAAATGCTCTACAATCCAAGGGACCCAGAATGTGGAATGACCTCCCCAATCATGTCAAAGGCTGTACCTCCCTCGACCACTTTAAGAGTAAAACAAAGTACTACCTAATTAACTCCATGTAACCTACCTTACCCCTAAATGTCAACCCATGTCTTGCTAATTTTTTTTTTTTTTTTTTTATAAATAATGCTGTTTATTCACCAACTTGTACAATTGCTTATTTCTGCCATGTTCCCCCCTTTTTTTATTTTTTATTCCTTTTTTCAACACAATTTATACCTTATCTCAATTACTATTAAGTTTCAGTCTAAGTTGTCCCCCCCCCTCCCCACATCTTGCCCCAAAATGCTGTGTGTACTAGTGGCTTTTGGTATTGTATGTACTAGCTCTATCTATAAATCTAACATTGTTTGTAAATCAACTATGTATGTACTTTCCTGAATAAAATTTACTTTACTTACTCAGGACCCCGGGAAATCCCACAGGTTGCTCGAAGGTTGCTCTGTCCCCTTGTCTCAGTGTGACTCACTGTTGCCTCAGTCACGCTGCCTGTTGGGTCAGTGACACTTTTGAACCAGAGTACTGTGAGTTGTTTGCTTGCTGGTGACTCAGTTTACCCAATCTACTGATGACATTATTTGGGTACAGGCAGTGCAAGCATTGTATGTTAGGCTTATGTTGTTGCAACGCTCTAGGTCGTTGATGCACCAGAAGCCCTGAGGCCGCTTGGTTTTGCTTATAGGGACCCGGACTTGTGGGTGTTGGTTGCTTCAGCCTTGGTTCTATCCGCGCTCCCCTCGTCCTTCCCCTGCTGTGGTTCGATGTGGTCCTTCCCCTGCTTCCGGCCCCGAAACGTCTGAGTGTTTCAGAGTCAGGGCAGGGTTTAGATGGTCTTGAGACTCTGGCAGTCTCGGGGGGTGCCCCTTCTGGTGCGGTGACGGAGGCATTAGTCCCTGACGAAGCGTCTGGGTCTGACCAGTGAGCCCCCCTTCTGTCTGGCATTTATGGCTGTGCCGGCCTTTTCTTCTGAGGCCGAGGCTTTGGGAGATGATTCGGCCCTGGGTTCTGGTGTGAAGGATCCCGGGGTGGGGCTGACTTGGGGGTCTTAGGCCCCGTTGGACCCTGCTTGGGTTTTTCTGCCCTTTGAGCGGGGCTTACTGTTACAAGGAGTGGGTTTTCTCCCCCCTCCCCCCTTCTGTGTATGAATTGGATTTGGTGTTTGCCCTCCCCGGGTTCGGTTGTGTCCTTCGGGTGTTTCGGTCCGGTCTTTC